AGCTATCATCAGCTTATCGAATTTCTTCTTATGTTGAAGCCCAAGTGGAAGTTGTAGCTCTGTAGATCCTAAGATTCCACAGAAAGTGTATGGCTTCTAAAAAGATATCTCAATGACTCACTGATTCCATCAACAACATCACTATTTAGGCATCAACAACACTCAGTTAAAAATACTCAACCCAACAATGATTGCTTCCACAGTTGAAGCAGTGTTAGCTGCTAATGGGCAAAAGTAGGATTCAAGGAAATACTATCATTTGAGCTGATAGCACTGTGAAGTTAAAAATAAAAAAGATATACATATTGATTATGATGCATTATACTCATAAATTGATAAGTTGAATGGAAACTCCTTTGTACTTGAAGATAATAGTTTAAGAGAAAGATGCAATGATAAGAGCAAAAGAGAAAAAGGGAAAGACTGGAATGTCTTTTAAAAAAAAACCCAGTTTAGTACAAATGGAAACATGTTTCAAACACAATGCTCAGAATTTGTCAAAGTAGCTATGAGGATGGATCCAGGAAGTGGGCACAGTCATGGACTGGGAATTCAAGGAGGGTCAAAACACAAGAGAAGCAGAGGGAAGAGGGAGCTAGCCTTGCTAGCTGCCTTTTCTAGGTAGAAATTGGATATTGCTGGGGCTGGGAAGGTGGCTCAGTGGTAGAGTGCTTGCCTTGCATGCATGAGGCCCTGGGTTCGATTCCTCAGCACCACATAAGCAGAAAAAGCTAGAAGTGGTGCTATGGTTCAAGTGGTAGAGCGCTAGCCTTGAGCTGAAGAGCTGAGGGACAGTGCTCAGGCCCAGAGTTCAGGCACCATGACTGGCAAAAAGAAAAAAGAAAAAAGAAAAGAAAAAGAAATTGGATATTGCTTTAATGAGTTAGTCTCCCCTTCTTCATGAGATCATGGGCTCCACCTTTCCCTAGAGCTTGCCTCTGGTCCCCCATCAGGGTTGCTCTTCCTGGGATAGGATGGACAGGGAGATAGGTCTCTGCCTGAAATTCTTTTAGGTACTCCAGGAGTTCATCTTACTCCAGAGGTAGAGACAAGCTAGAGAAGTCTGAGGCTTGTAAAAGCTACTTGGTAAGTTAGGATTTCAGGAAAAGGCTCAAATCTGTTCCTACTCATACTCATCAGAAAAAAATACAACCCCCAAACTACTAAAAGCTTTCTAGAGAGACCTGTAGGTAAACTAAATGGGGCTTTCACAACGGTGGGAAACATAGTCCATCCTCAAACAAGACCAAGCCAGATGTCAGCTACATAAAGAGAAGGGCACTTGGTCATATGAATAGAAGCAGGTGCAGGGGATAATAGATGAGATTTGGGAGACTTGCTTTCTTGAGTTTAAACAGCAATTCTGTCCATTTCCATGCCACTCTGGAGAAATTCACCTTGCAGTGCCTGTTTGTTCCTCTGTAAAATACAGGTGATGAGCCATTGACCACCTCCAAGTACCGTGTAGACTAAAGAAGTTCATACGTGTAAGGTGCTTACCAGTGGCACATAGTAAATATGCACATTTACTCTTGTTATTTATCACCCAAAGTTGCTAGCATGGACTGCAGAGAGGAATGATCCACATGAAGAATGCTGACTCCAGAATCACTCTGATTCAGAGCAGTCTTGAGCATTGAAATCAGAGAGATTGGACATCAGATCCTGGTTTCAAGGCTCACTTGCTGCGTGACCTTGAAAAAGTTACACCAATTCTCTGAATTTATTTACACCTCAGTAAAATGAAGATTATAGTGCTTGCCTCATAAAGTGGCCAGAAGGATGAAGTGAGCAAATTGAAGGAAGCACTTAGCCTAGTGCACAGTAGCACATAGTCAGGGGTTATTCTTCCGGGGACTATGTGTTCAACCAGTTCAATTTCTCAGTTCAGTAAGAATTAGCATCTGGCTTCAGATGGCTTAGTGACATTTAGTTAATACTCCACCCACTCTCAGTATTTTTGCACAGGTATGGGGTAGGGTGGTATGGAGGATGGGGACCTCTAGCTTCTCAGTGTGTAACTGCGAATTCCTCAAATCTATCACCTCAGAGGAGGGGATTCTGCAGGGATAAAGAAAGAGCTGGAATTTTGAGGCTCTCCTCAAAGCAACCCCCCATTGAATACTGCTTATTTTGTGTCCCAGATATTCCTTTCAGGTTTGAAAGGGAACCTAGGTCCCCAGACTTCGTTATCTCCAACCAAAAGCTTTGTTGATGAAAAAGCTGAGTCTCTCAGCTTTTTGCAACAAGGTATACTAAATATAAGGAAAGCCATTCCTAGGTGGTCCCAAGATTACATCTAAAAAAACAGTGGATTAATAGAATATCTAAAAAATTAAACTATTGAGCAAATTTTTCTAATATTTTCTATGGTTTTCAAACATTACAATCACAGAAGCATTTAACTGCACTTCAAACATTTTTGGGGAATTGGAAAGAAGGAAATACCCCCACTGCTCACAGTGACAATGGTTCACAAATTCAGTGTTAAGATATCCTTGTTCCTGGTCATTCATCACACTCCAGAAGAGATCAGACCTTGAGCTTCAAAGGCTCAGAGTGCACACTTCAAAGGATCAAACAGGTTTCCTATGAGGAGAGAGTCACAAGATTTTTGAGATGTTTCTATTTAGGAAAATTGTATAACAGGAGAAAATTGTATTTTTATGAGATACACATACAAACAGACCAAAGAAAGCTCCAGAATTACCCAGAAGGAAAAAAATGCCCAGAAGAAAAAGATAAACAACTATTTCTGAAAGATGAATCTGATTTTTTTTAATCGTTTCCTACAATGGTCAATGAAAAATGATTAGAAAATGTGAAAGTTATATGTATGTATGTATATATATATATATATATATATATATACTATTGAATAGTATAGTTGATTGTGTAATATTAATTCATGAAGCACTAGCTTCAATCCTCAGCACCACAAAGTTAAAAATCTGAAAAGTCACAAACACCTTAAGTCAAAAGCCATCAAAGGGATTCTCTTTGGAGAACTTGAATAAAACAAATGGTGGTCATCCATTTGATCCCAGCCTCCTCTTTCTGGGCTGCTCATCTCCTTTGATGGGTCTTTTCTTAGTCGTGTCCTTGAGCTAGTCTAGGCTTGGCAGAAAGGAGAGGAAAGGATGCAGCAGCATCACTATTGCCAGAGACAGCAATACCTCCCAGTCTCCCCACCCCTCCTTCCCCAAAGGAGGGATCCACCCCTCTCAACAATGCCCGCTCGCTCCCACACCAAGGTCTTCCTCTAGCCTGGGATGAAAACCAGGCTCGGTCTACAAGAAGCGGAGGCACAGAGGTAGGCCAAGGTCTTCCTGTGGGGAACGGGCCCAGCTGCCCCCCACCCCTTACAGCTACCAGAATAACCGCAGTGACACCCTGACAATGGGCAGCGGCCGGAGCAGCTGCTCCAGAAGGATGTCAGTAGCCCAGCTGCGGCGGTTCTGATAAGGGAGGAGGTTTACAGCCCAGAATGGATGTGAATCCCGAACCCATTGCGGTGCCTGGACCCCCAGAGGGGAAGCCCTGACGTGGAGGGCTTGGTTGGGGAGGGCAGGGCACGGGGTCTGCAGGGCCACAATAGTAATAGAATTGGTTTCCAGTGTCCAGCTAAAGAAGGATAAAAAGGATGTGTGGTGGGATCCTTTATCCGCACAGCTGGAGATTTCTCTTCCTTCTACACAAATCAGGCGAGTGGGGGCAATGGAATCCCAAATGCGAGGTGAGTTGCCAGATGGATTTCTAGATCAAAAGGAGGGTTTCCAAAATCCACACACACACACCCAGGCGAAGGTGTGACCCAGTCAGTACTCAGAACCTGTGGGGGGGGGGGGGGGCCTCCAAAACCAGCCTCGACCACGGTGATGAACAGCGGAGCAGAACCCCACAGCTGGGACGCGCCCCTCCTCCACCTGGAGGTCCCCCGGCGCAGCCATGCCCCCACCCCGCCTCCCAAAGCAGGCGCTCTTCCTTCCTTCATGACCTCACTGCCTCCTTCCCTTGACGTCAGCCCCGGGTCCTGGCGCAGCGGGGCGGGAGGGTGGGGATGGGTTGGGGGCAGTTGGTGTCAGGAGCCCCTTAGCACCCGCGGGAGGAGGAAGCTATGAGCTAATGTGCGCCCAATCCCCGGCTGCACCGAGCGCCGGCCGCCCCTTCCCACCCCCACCCCACCCCCGCCCCACCTTCTCGTGCGGCGCAGGCCCCGGTGTGCGCCGCAGTTACTTAGCAACCCTATCGGAGACGCGGGATGCCGGCCAAGTTCACCCAAAGTTGAAGAATAAATTGGGGGGCGGGGAGGGGGAGAGAGACGATAGAAAATAGAGCGAGAGAGAGAAGAGCCCGGGCAGGGGCGCAGGGCGGGGAGGGGCGGGGAGAGGCTACCCAAATGGGGAACAGGTTGGGGGCTTCCACTCTCTGGAACTAGAAAGGCGTGGGTGGGCCGGCGCGTCCCCACGCGGGACCCCACGAAGATCCCACTATGATCCCGGCAACCTTGCCTCCACGGACAGCCCACGAAACACTACCGCAGGTTGAAGTCTACGGAGTTGAGGAGTAGCTGGCCTTGGCCGGCCCCGGCCAATAGTAATAGTAGCGTCCAGTGAGACCCACTGGGGACGAAGGAGCTTGAGGAGAATCGCGCGGGAATGGACTCTTGTGTTTAATCTCTAGTCGGGAGGAAATTAAAGGCCTCCCCATAAAGTCCCTTATAAAAGTAACTCCTCCACGTACAGTTCCCTCTTCCTCAGCCCCGTACAGAAACTGCTCTCAACTAGAATCAAAACAAGACTAATCTGCAGGGGAGATCTACTTTAATTTGCTTCAAGTGGCTGGGTGAAATTAAGGCATTCTTTGTCTCCCAAGACCCCTGTGAATCTTGCAGTCAGGGCTGCCAGGGGGAGGGAGAGGCAGGGAGGGGTGTCTGCCGGTTCCAGGCCCCTCTCCCGCGTGGTGGTTACCCACACCCCGTCCCCCGCGCGCCTTCTTACCTGCTGTAGGGCGTCCTCAGCAGCAGAGCCTGGCTGCCCGTGCAGCTGTCGGTGGGCGTGTGACAGCCATAGACCGGAGGCGGCACCGAGTACTGCTGCTCGCCTGAGAAAAGAGCCGAGGACCACGGAGTGAGGGCGATCCCAAGGTTGAGGGGCATTGTGCAAGGTGGGGCACAGAGTAGACTGAGTTTTGGGGGGGCACTAGGGTGCCCAGCGGAGGCCACCCACCTCCGATTTCTTTCCCCTAGCACGCATTCCCCCTGGGGCTTGGAAAAGATCCTCGGGACACTGGCAGACTTGGAGTGGCATTTTGGGATTGGGGATGGAAAAAGACTGGATCTTTTTCTTTTAAATAGCGTGGGCTCTTTATTTCCCAGGTGCCTTTGGATGGATATCTTCTTCCTTCTCCAATGTGCCCTGGGTTGGAAATTCCAGGAGGGAGGTGTGCAAAAGGCGGGAAAGACCTGCGTCCACCCCACCTGCTTACCCAGCGAGCCTTGCTGGCCCATGGGGTCCTCGTGCTTGAAGGAATGGTTGGGGAACTGCGCAGCGTGGTGCGAAGCCGTGTGGCCATAGCTGGGTGTCCCATCAAAGGTGACCGTGCTGTATCCTGAGAGAGCGACAGAAACACATCCGTGTGACTCTTGGGGAAACAGAGGCAGAGGATCTAAACCAGAATTAGAGCAGCAAGAAGTAGTGCCTGACCCCTCAAATTCTGGCTTTCAAGGGAGGGGTGTATATACCACTTCAACTACCAAGACTTCTGTCCAGAAGAGCCTAAGTCCCAGGGACAGCCTTTGGCCACTAAAATCCTGACTCTCCTGCTTTTTTCCCAATCTATGTACACCCGGTCTTCCACAGTGACTGTAGCTTCCCGTACCCATAAAGTATGAAAACTTCACCAGCTTGATGGAGAAAGTATCTTCCCCCTCAGAAAAACAAACACCTAGGCTTTAGCGTGGAGGCTGCAGTGGGCAAGCAAAATGAATCTGCTCAGTTTGACCCTACGCTGACTCTAAGCTGTAAATCAGGAGCCCGTGCACCAACTTTCATTAATTACTCAGAGCCTGTTAAATGGCCAGCACTTTAAATGGGGAGAGTAATTACTGGGTAATGTTATCTGTCTGGGGGCTGCACAACCTGACACCATAACAGAGGCCCTGTTGGGGGTGGGGGGCTGGAGGAGAAAAGAAGGACCCTTTTCTGTGGGCAGAGGGAAGTCCAACTCGGACCACTGCTTTGGTGGCCAGCTTCCTTGTCCCACAGGCCAGAAACTGCTCAGGGAAATGTCTAGGTGTCCTTTCCTTTCCAGGGCAGTGCCTAGTGCTGCCTCGGTTTCCCTGCTGAGAAGCCAAGCTCCATGTTTATTCTTTGTCCCGAAAACACGAGAAAAGGAGGATTGTTTCTCAATTGGAAAACGTAGTCTGTTATGATTATTGTTATTAAATGACTTGGAATCGATGACTCCTTTGTGCCATCCCCAATCCTTCCATCCCTCTCTTCACCCCTGCTGTTAGCTCCTCGTGGGAACAGGGCATCCACACTGAAGATCAGCCCTGAGACCCTGAATCTTGGGGTGGGGCCTCTTCTATGCTCAAGGTCCAAAGGATGAATACCAAAGTCCTGGCCAAATGGCAAGCGGACACACATCGGCTCCCGCCCTGCAGGGCCAAAGCCAACTGAACCCCTCCTCCTCCCCCAGCGCGCCCCCCTCGGCCCTTTCCCTTCCTTCCGATCGGTCTCCAAATCCCACAAAATTTCTTGAGATCCCAGTCAGGCAAAAGACTTCCCCCACTCTTGTCGGAGTCTGACCCAAGTTCTGCAACAAGTGTTCCCGACAACTCAGTACCAAAACAAGAGGCTTAGTTAACGTCCACTTTCAAAGCGCGTCGTTGACACCCTCCCCGACAACAATCGAGATTCGATCGTTCACTCGGGGCCAAGAAAGACACAGTCCAGATAGTGGTAGCGTTTCCGAGCCAGAAGGAGGGAAAGAGAAAATCGTAATCACCTGAATGGTACAGGCCAAGCGCACGGCTTACGCGCCGCGCGCCGTGCGCAGATGGGTGTTAGGAAGCAAACGAGTTTTTTGTTTTTTGTTTTAAATTTGCGTGACCCTAGAAAGCCTCCATTTCTCGCCTGGTAAGTGAGCAAAGAGAACCCCCGTCCCACGAGCTCTCGGGCGCGAGTGAGCGCGCTGCGACTTCCTTTTGGAAGTGGAAGCTCGACCCTACCAATGAGCCTCCCAACGAAATTTGACTCCAGGCGCCCATCTGTGCCCAGAGAAAGAGCCGACTATCTGCAAGGGCATCTTCTGAATGAAGAGGGGCAATACAAGAAACAAAAGAAATTTTCTCTAAACGAACCCTTCTCCATTTTCGAGCGGAAGAGCAGGCAATGACTTCGGGGGGGGGGGACGCCCCCGTGCAACGTGGGACAGCCGCTGCTTAAGGATGCGGGGTGCTGGGCTGCGCTTCCTGGGCCGCCGGCTCCTTCTGCGATGGCCCCCCGAACTCCCGCGTAAGGATGCCGGTGCCCCGCGAGGCTCCCTAGCGCCCACTCTCTGAACGAGCAGACTTCGAACCCACTCTCCCTCGAGGCTCCCAGGAAGGGCAGTGCTGAAAACGCTCTCTGGACTGAGGGCTCTTTTAATTAGAGGCTTATCAGACCTGGGGCTGATTAGAGGCACACTGTCCCTTGGCCCCTGAGCTGGGCCTGGCCGGGAGGGTGAAGGCGGGAGCCGGGGGAGGAACCGCTGCTGGCTCGAAGGAGCTGTGTGTTCAAAGGCTCCTTGTACAGGCCTTGGGGCTGGAGGGCCCAGCAGCCAAGGTAGCGCCTTTCCCACGGTTAGTCGGGGGCCGGGGAGGGGAGTGCAACCTTGACTTCGAAGAGAAGAGGCTCGGAGCCTCCCTCCCCCATCAGTGGCTGCCAAGGAGCCCAGGTCCTTGCCTAGCTGGCCCTGGAGGAGTGGAGGGGTACAATGGACAGATGGACAGATTGTGGTAGAATGGATGATTGTGCCCACAAGGCTGAAAATGATCACTGTAGCTGCGATGTGGGGGGGGGGGGGGAGGGGGATGATAGGAGGAAATCTCCCCCAACGAAATACCCTCTCCCATGTGACCAAAGGGGGGCGCCTTTGGCCCTCAGGTTCAGCTTGTCTCCCCACATGACCCTAGGATAGCCTAGTAAGCCCAAGGCCTTGCACTTCAGTTTACCAGTCTGGCTATGGAGGAGCAGGACCTGAGTGGCAAAGTAGCCTTGTCTGTTCTGGGCCCCTTTCTAAACCTTGCATTCCAGCCAGGGTGAGGGAAGTCATTACCCGACTTCTGCTCTGAGAAACCATGCAACCATCAACACAGACAAGGGAGTGCACCTCCAAATTGGATAGAGGAAATTCATTTCAGCTACAGAGCCCCAGAAAACAGTGTGGTTTCAAATCCCACCTCTGTCACAACCTGAAAGATCTCTTGCACACTTCATCTGGTAGTGCCTGACTTTTTTCTTCCTTGTACAGAAAGAAGGTTCCTTCAGCCTCAGGCTTTGAGATTCTGTCAAAAGTTCCTGCCACTACCAACTGTCTCAATTAACATTCAGTCCCCAGTACCTGGCACAAAACAGAAGCTAAATGTTAGTTAAATTAATGTTTACAAGATTGGTCTGTCAACTATATTTATTTCGCCTATAAGAAATTTTGGAAGGGGTGAGTGGGCACCAGAAAGTGTCTTTGCCTATGGACCGGATTCTGAAGGACAAACAGCCTAGAGTCCTCTCCTTTGGAGTTTGGGCTTGGTGTGCTGATGGCCATAATCACAATGACACCTTAGCTTTTGCCAGCCCAAGCTACCTACCAGGCCTGGATTCCTGGTGAGAGAGCTACAGGAGCCCCTAAATCAAAGGACTAACTGTGGAAGAATCTTCCACCTTAAAAACCTACTTGTCTACTTTTTAAAGACGTTTTTAAAGAGTAGGGACTAGAAACCAAGTGCCAGTGTCTCACACCTATAATCCTAGCTATTCAGGAGGCTGAAATCTGAGGATCTCAGTTCAAAGTCAGCCAGAGCAGAAAAGTCCATGAGACTCTTATCTCCAATTATGCACCCAAAAGTGGGAAGTGGAGCTGTGGCTCAAGTAGTAGAGTGCTAGCCTTAAGGGAGGAAAAAAAAGCAGCTGGGGATAGTGCCCAAGCCTTGAGTGCAAATCCCAGGTCCAGCAAGTGTGGTGGGGAGGGATGGGGCGGCACACACACACACACACACACACACACACACACACACACAAATAGGGACTAAAGTGGCTTGTAAACACCACACAAATTCCAGCTCCTAACTGCCAAGTGAGTCCAAAGGGCTAGACAGGGTGACCCCCTTGTTTTGATTAGAAGGGAAAATGTAGGCTGAGGATAGGAACAAGTTTCTAGGAAAAGGTCCTAGTTTGGAAACGTCTTTCCACAGGGTTTTCCGCACGGGCAGGGTTGGTGAAATGTCTTCACCTGACCATCCTGGGCTTTGGCTGGTTCCCAAGTGAAGCCTGGCCTGTGTACTTGCGAAGACTCAAGAGTTTTCCCAGTGCCCATGGGGTTTAAGTCTATACACTGCACTACACTACACACACACAGAGAGAGAGAGAGAGAGAGAGAGAGACAGAGAGAGAGAGAGAGACAGAGAGGAGACAGAGAGAGAAAGAGAGAGGGGGGAGAGAAAAAGGGGGGCTAAGGAAGTGTAGGCACTTCCGCAGAATGCTGGACATAGGCGCCTAAGGCAAACAAGAATCCAGGTTTCAAAAGTACCAAAGGAACTTAGATGAACTTAAATAAAAGAGAATGGTGCACTAGTATTTTGCAGCCCAGGGGACTGGATCAGATAGCTCTGGAGCCTCTCCAAACACTCATCCAGCAGTCTCACTCACACCACACACCTGTGTGGCTCCGCTTCCCAGTGGGTGATGTTTCAGTGGGCAGCCCCTTGCCCTGAGCCTTGGGGAAGTCAGACTTTCACACCTATGGCTATAGTTTTATCAGGACCCAACCTCCAGGTTGCCCACCTTAGCTCTCCTTTTACAAAAAAGAGCAAAGGGCCCTGGAGATTCGCCAAGTTTAACAGTTGCCTGTTAAAAAAAAAGTGGCTGCGATCGACACTACACTGTTGCAACAAGCACAAAAGAATCTCAGAACGCCTTTGCATCTGCTCTAGACTCCTCCGTGGGTCTCAGGCCGCAGGCCCTGGATGAAGGGGGCAGTTTCGGTTTCACTAGGGCTTCGGATGGCCCAGGTGCTCCACAATCGGGCTAGACGAGGAATGACCTCAAGACATCCATTTAGGAGGCCGGGGAGAGAGCTGGTGAGAACAGAACCCTTAGGGCCAAGTGAAAGTTTCCGCACCTTGGCGATGGTCACACATTTTGTTTCTCCCATCCCACGCACTTCAGAACCACCCCCCCCACTCCTTAAACCAGTACGAATTCTTACACTTCAGGAAAAAAACATCCGCAAAACCATTTCCTAAAAGATCTAATTATACACCCAATTCGTTTGGGTTCTCAATATCAAATAAGTCAAATGAGAATAAAGAGATCTCACTCCAGTGGCTGGGCCCAAGGCGGTCCCTACGGGCTCTGCCGAAAGAGAGGTTGAGGCCAATGCCAGATAAGACAACAACAGATTTGCGCATGTCTGGGGGGGGGCACCTGCGCACAATCACTGAGGATGACCAACAAACCTGTTCTTGTCCTGACCCCCCCTCCCAAGTTCCTACAAAAACCTTCCCAGCTGAACCTCTAGAAAAGGCCTCAGCCCATTGCTTGTGATGGGACCAGGTCCCACATGATTTGTAATCGGATAAACCGGGTTCTCTTCCAGCCCCGTAGCCTGCCTGCGTGCCTGGCGCCTCCTGGAGAGGTGCCTGTTTTTCCATACCCAAGAGATAGATGCCAGACACAGACCTAAATAGTGGCCCATTCATTTACTCCGGTGTAGTGCTTGCAGCCCAATACTTACTGGGCGCCTGAGACCTCAAACCTCAGGAAGGACTAGGATACTCCTAGCAGAAGAAGGATAGGGAGCCTGGGGAGGGGGAAGGGAAGGAGAGTCCGTCCACCTCGCCCTGGCTCCCATCGGAATCCGAGGCCTAGATATCGGTAAAGCCCAATGCCCGTGACAACACGGCCAGATACCGAATACCGAATCTCCTTCTTCACTGCCCTGATGACTCTCGATCTCAGAATTGCCGGGCTCCTAGGGGCCCCCAGATGGCCTCCCGGCTCGTGCGAACTCATCAAGGGTTTCCCGCGTTTTGCTCTGCGGGGGGTGGGGGGAAGGAGAAGGGGAGCTCATGCCCCAGAGCACATTTTCCACCCCACCCCCCCACAACCGCTCCCACTTCTTCCATGGGGAGAAGCGCTGGGATTAAAGAAAGGCTAGGCGAGGAGAGAGGCGGGCCGGGGCGAGCTGCCCCGCGCGTAGGGGGCGCTCCCCGGTGTTACTCACCCTGGTTGCGAATAGCGGGCTGGCTCTCCAGGCAGCTGGGCAGGTAGGGCGCATTGGGGAACATCCTAGCCTGACCCGAGGACGCCTGGCTCGGCGGGGGAGGACCGAAGGGCCCGTAGCGGCAGGCTCCGGCGGTGCCGGTGAACTGACCGGAGAAGTGCACGGTGAAGGCGCTCAAGCATTGCTCCTCGTGCGGCTCCGCGCCGCCCCAGCTGGGCTCCTGTTTGATGAAGGAGTGGGGCGGCGGCGGGGGCGGCGGAGGCGGCGGGGCCGACGGCGGGGCCGGACCACCCAAGGAACCGTAAGCCGAAGCGCCCGGGGGCGCGAAGTCCAGCACCGGAGCCCATTGAGCCGCGCCGCTTACTGGCAGGGCGCAGCCACCGCCGCCCCCCAGCGAGGGTACGGCGGGCAGCAGCGCGTTCAGGTCCCGCACGTCGGAGCCCATTAGCTGCGGCTCAGACCCCGACAGCCTGCGGCTCCTCCGACCCGGCGGACGCTTGGCACTGGACTCGGCCGAGCCTAAGTTGTTGGGGAGGCTGCCCCGGCCTCGGCCCCTCCGCCGATCGGGATGCTGAAGGCACCCGGGTTCCAAGTAGAGCGCGTGCGGGACGCCGGCTTGGGGGGTGGGGGGCACACGTGGAAGAGCGGGCCCCAGCAGGAGGAGGAAGTCCGGGCTTCAGCAAGGAGGCGGCGGGACCCGGGGTTCCTGGGCTGCTGTCCCGGCTCTGGGTGGGTGGGTGAAAGAGTGGGAGGGAGGACGGGAAAGGAGGGGGGGAGCGCACAGGCGATCTGGGCGCGGAGAGCCCCCGGGTGTGGGCGCTGCCTTGAACTCCTTACCCCAGCTGCCTGGCTGCCCCCAGCTTCTCAAAGCTCAAATAAGAGGGGCCGGCAGCGGGGAAGGAGGAGGAGCCGGGAGGCTCGGCCGCTCCATTCACACAGCGGCTCTGGTCTAACGGGACAGCGCAGACTCTTCTGGGGCGCCCTCACAGCGGGGGCGGGGGGCGGGCCTGGAGGAACGTCCCTCTCGTCCAAGACACCCTCCTCTCCTGCCCGCCACGCGCTCTCCACTGGCCCGGATGGCGCAGCCCTCCCTCCCCCCTCCCCACCTCTCCTTCTGGGCCTTCGGGAGTGTGGGCGCCCAGCGGCACCAGCAAGTCCCTGCAGGTAAACGGGGTGTCCTCCCCCCCAGCCCCGGGACGCGGTAGAACAGACGGGGTTGTTAGACTGAGAGAGGGCGGGCTGGAGGGAGGGGCGGGTGGGCTCCAAGGGGGCGGGCACTTCAGCACAGCGAGGAGAACTCTGGAGGTTCAAAAGCCGCTGCTACCCCTGGTGTGATCACCGTACCCCCTGCGTCCTACAGTTCAACAAGCTTAGCTTTTGGTTGTTGGCGAGAAATCGGTTCCTGGAAGTTTGGGTGTCCAGGAGGGATGGCGTCAGTGATGACAAGAGGAAAGCCCCCCACCCCCACCCCCGGTCGTTTGGTGGAGATTTGGTCCCAGTGGAAAGTGGTCGGTGCTTACCTAAAATTGGTGTTGGAAGCAACACTTTAATTTTCCTTTCCATCTATTTCTATTCTATGATTAAACGGCAAGTGTGAGGGGGAAAGAAAGCCGTTGACGAGCAAACGCCTTGAGCCTGCTAGTTTAATCCCACTGTGGAGTTCGGGCGCCCCGTTGGGAAGGGTTTGGACACGGGTGGGACACGGTGTGGCTCCAGACGCCACTTGGCCACACACGGCTTTCGTTCCTGAGCCCTGATTTGATTCTGGATGCGCAGCGATCAACCCGGGAGGCGCACAGCGGTTAGGCTAACGGAGCCGTGGGCCTGGGAGGGCTCGGCTGGCCCACAGCCAGACGCGTGTTCACACCTTTGGCAGCGTGGAGCGCAAGGCAAAATGAACTCCTCCCTCCAGTTATTAGCTCTTTGGGAGCCCTGTGCCTTCGAACAGGTGTTTGGAGGTTGCTTTGGTCTATGGGTTGGTTCTTCTAATGTAGTCGGATCTTTTGGAGACACAGTCTGTAGGCGAAGGAGAAACGCTAGGAGTCTGGCGTGAAGTGCGTTTCTGGGCGCGTGGAAACGCCCAGGAGCGCCGGGAGGCAGCGGCGATGGCGGAGCCTGGGACTGCCAGGCGCGCCGGGCAGGAAGAGGCCGATTCCAGCCAGGACAACTGCACCAGGCTGTCTGGGCAACTTTTCTAGTCAAACCTAACGACGCAAAGCAACAATGGAGGCAACTGCTGTTTTACAAATAAAAAGAGCATCCCCGAGACCTTGCATTTGTTATACTTTGGTTTCATTGCACGGAGTAAACACAGTCGCCCTGAACTCTAGTTGCAGAAACGAAGTGCCGTGCCACGACCAACAATTGCCTCCTCTTCTTGGGGTTGCGCGCCCTGTAGGTGAAGACTGTGGGGTTAAAGGTTGAGAACCACACTTGTCTGCTACCCCGCCAACCCGGTGGTAGAAAACACAGCACTAACTTAGTGCTTGACTTTGCTGCGTCTTCACTTAGGACGTTGTTGTTTTTTCTTTAGAAAGGAGAGAGAGAGAGAGAGAGAGAGAGAGAGAGAGAGAGAGAGAGAGAGAGAGAGAGAGAGAGAGAGAGAGAGCGATCGCTGGGCTCTCCAGACTCCCCGGTGTGCCCCATCCCTAAACCTCCAGGGCTTGGCAGAGAGAAGCACAGAATGGTCGTTTTGGTGGAGACTCCTCATTTAAGACTAAACTTATCAAAGCCAAATTGACCTCCCAGGAACCCCAGCCGCCCCTTCTTCCATCCTCCTTTCCACCTCTTATTTCTACTTGGAAGTCATTTTCTTCACTAGGACTCAAGCACCGGCAGAGGGAAGAGAGCTCTGTGGAAAGCCAGAGTTTCATTCCCAAATGAAAAGGCTCCGATGGTTTCTCTTTTAATCGTTTTGCAAGGTTGGGTTTTGTTGGGGAGGCGGGGTGTGAGGTTGGTTCTCTGTTGAGAAGCTAGTTTGACGTGTGCTTTTGGGATCTCGAATCTCAAGCAGAGCAAAAAACAAATCTCTAACTGCACGCTTTACAAGCTGGTTTTTTTGCCTGGAGGTAGCCTTCCCAGGTGGGTGGGAGGAGAGGGGCGCTGGCAATTTAGGACTCTTCCGGCCATTTGTTTGTTTGATGGGGAACCCAGGAAGTGGGATGTTCATTTCAAACCCAGGGTGCCCCCCAACTCGCCCCGACTTCACCCCACCCCAGGGTGGGAGGAGTTCCTGGAAACCCTCCGGGAGGAGAAAGGAATACTCAAAAGTTTCAAGCCGCTCACCAACCAGGCCCCACCCCACCCGGTCGGACAGAGGTACCCTTGTACCCCCTCATCTTCCCTTTTCCGCGCACCCCGAAAGTCAACTCTGGAAAATCTATAAGCTTCCAAGGTTCCCGGGCAACGCGTTCTTTCCAAGTCTCCCTGGGACTTGGACTCTGCGGGCCTGCGCAGAAGCACCTAGGAGATGGTCGCGCTTTCCGCCCATCCTGCAACTGCTTCAGCCCGCAAAGCCCTTTGAGGTCCCAGAAAGATGAATTCTGTGGATTCCCAGACCTCGCTACTCCCCCCATTTCCCGCCGGGGTCAGCCCGGAGACCCCTTAGCAGAGGAGCTAGGTTTTAATCGTCAACGAATCAAGTTGGAGATTAAACTCCTGGTTTTAGAAAGGCGAAGTGTAGGACGCAGTGGTTAAGAGCAAGGGATTGGTGGTTTGTAAATCGAATGTCAGCTTCCTCCGGTCCTCAACAGCTGTGTCGTACTAGACCATGTCTGCAGCCCTTCCGAGCCTGTTTCCATAGGTAGCACCCACATGCTGCGCTACCCCGTAGGTTACATAGAAGCGCAAGAGTTGAGTTATGCAGCGGACAAACGGTAGTTTTTGCCTATTACGGTTCAAGGACACCTGTAGCAAGGCTATGCTGAAGCCCAGATTTCTCAACGTCCAGTTCTCCCATGGGGTGTCTTTAATTCTTGTCCTTCTGCTCTTGTAGAACTAATGGAAAGGAAAGGACGGACGTGGAAGCCCACGTTCAACATTGGTCAAGTAAAAACATTCCAGCCGATCAGGTGCCTAATTACTGCAATCTTAAAAACATCTCATCTCGGGGGGGGGGGGGGGGGAGAAAGTGAAGACCTCCCCGCCTTTCACCCCAGTGCTGTCAACTGCGTCTGGCAGAGCTTGGAGCTCAGCGGCTCCAACCGCGACTCCAGGGACCAGCGCGCACTCCCCGGCCGTGCGCGCCGGCCGTCACCCCGCGGCCGCGGACAACTGAATAAACATACCGAAGGGCAAGGAAGGACTGGGGCCACCAGCCCGCCGGCCGGGCTGCAGATCCCTAGCGTCTCCCCCCGGCCACCTCCTCCACCCCCTGGAAGGAACGGGCACCTCTCCCACCGGCTCGTGCCGAGGATCCCCAAGGGCAGGACAAACACCCCAACCGCTTCTCCCTCCCCTTTCAGCCAACTCCAACTCAACCATCTGCCTGTCTGCGCCGCTGGTTCCCATCCCGCATCGACGGCAAAAAGTTTAATTTCTAAAATTAATAATAATACATTAAACACGGGAGAGTCTTTTGTGATATACAGCCCGCTCCTAGGCACCCTCTGTTCACTGGAAAGTTATCTCGATCTATTTTGATCAGCTATTTGATCTATTTTGATTCACGGCTCAAACTCTCCTTTCTGATCTGATTTTGGGGCCCAGACCTATTGACGGCAGCTTGTTACGTGGTGCATTTTCCCTCTCCCCACTCCCCCACCCCCTCCCCAGCCACAGCCGGCGGTGCCTGGAGCCGCCGGGGTTACCCAACCCGGTCGGATCTGATGCGTCCGCGAGATGGTCCCCGAGTCCCCAATGAAAGGATTCCGCAGCGAGACCTCTATTATTATACCGTAAATCTTTTTAAATTCTGGAACTAATTATATAGAGGATATGTCTCAATTTGTTCTGCATTAATGCCACAGTGGGGATAGAGGCCAGGCCGTGGCCAGAGCAGATACGTAGGCCCATGAAATTGATGAACTGAGAGTTGCTTCCAGTCCTGGGCGCACCATCTGGAATTCCAGTCTGAGGTTACAATTAGAACTCCTGACCCCAGATTCAACTTTGCAAACAACCCGGGGGGGGGGGGGGAGTGGAGAATGGGGGGCAAAACACACACACACACACACACACACACACACAAGAAGAAACAACTTCTTTGCACCTGTAAAAAGAAAGAAGAAAAGAAAGGAGGAAGGGGGAAATCCCGATTTTAACATCTTTCCGTCTTAGAAATTTCTTTCCAAGTATTTCGTTTGTGTTTTTTAACCTATAAAAGATAATGGAATGTATTTTATAGGCTGGATTTTATCTTGTCTCCTTTCACTCTTCTGACTGCACTCGGTTTTGTAATTGTCATTTTCCCCTCAGCGTTGGGTTTGATTATATAGGACCAAAATAATCCTCAGTAAATTAGTTTGATAAGTATTGCCACTCTCATGATGTCCCTTTTGAAAAATAGCCTAATTATAGAAATCTACCTGGATCCAAGAACTCCTGTGTTTTTTTTTTTAATGCTACTTAAGCTTAACTGTAGTAATCAGAGATTTTATTTGTGCTGTAATTTTATTTGTATTCTAAATCCTTGGGGCAAATGTAACACACTTCTTTATTTTCCTCTCACTTTGACCTCCTGAAGAACTGAAGGACTAGGCAGTACTGGGAATTTGTTAAATTTATTAGCATACATGCTTAGACAAAACGGGATATAAATCATACAGATGTATTAAGCCATAAAGTATCCCAATGAAGTCAACCCCTTGCCAAGGACCTGGTGTGTAAATGTTCATATAAAACAAGGTATCAGTATTCTCTTTCAAACTGAATATGTGTTTTAGGAATACTCAGATGTTGAGTTAGAAATACCACAGGGAGAAGCAAGGCAAGGGATGGATGGGAGAGATTCTTTTGAACAGGCTCTTAATATTGTGGTGGCTCCTACATAGGCTAAGAAGACAAAATCTCAACAGTTTGCACTTGAAATGTTCTGTAGATGACTTAGGGCAGGTTGTTTGTTTGTTTTGTTGATTTTAAGAGATACATACAAGCTGTGTAATGGTAGGTAGCAAAAGAATAAGAAGGAAAAAAAACGAATAGAGGGCAAAAGGCAATGCTTTCTA